CCACTCAGGTGCTCTCACCTGATCAGGTAATCGAGTGCATTAACTGATCATCAGTAAGTTTCCACGTACTGATTTTGTCTGGGATCATCTCTGTGCAGAAACTACTGTACTGCCTGTGTGAGCATCTTCAGGGAGAGGCGTCATCCAAACAGACGTGAATGGACAGGAAATTCAAAGCTCTCATGACATCACAGCGCGACGTGACATCGCGGTCCAACACACATGGAGTTTTACCTCCCGGCGTACAGTGGTGAGGTTTCCCTCCTGCAGCCTTCTGTCCTGTTCTAACACACACACACACACAGACACACACACACACACACAGACACACACACACAGACACACACAGACACACACACACGCACACACACACAGTCTCACACACACGCACACACTCACACACACAGACACCCACACACACACACACACACAGTCTCACACACACTCACACACACTCACACGCACACACACACACGCACACACACTCACAGTCTCACACACACACAGTCTCACACACACACACAAAGAGTGTTACCTCTGCTAACTCTGGACTCAGGCGTTCTTGGTTATTACTGTACTCCGGTTCTCTGAAGCAGAGGGGCTGCTGTGGACCTTTACAGCTTCCTCAGGCCTCAGGAGAACAACATGAACCTGCAACATGATCAGTGAAGAACAGAGCTTCATCAGTGAGACCCTGTCTGTAGGTGGATGAGATGAAATGGATGAAACAGCTGATAACATATGAAAAACTGTTTGTGTGTCCATTGTAAGAGAAAGAATGTTAATAAAGGCACAACACAAAGGAGACACTGCAGCATGACTCTTTGGAAGAGGCCAAAAGAGGCTCTGCACACCAACACCTGAAGTAGCTGTGAAGTCAGCCAGGTGGATGCTACCTAGCTGACTTCACAGCTGACCAGGAGAAGAGAGGTCAACTCTGACACAGCACCACAAAGAGCCAAAGGTCACAAACCCACAGGAGGAAGTTCATGCAGAGATCTGACTTTAATGACCCGCAGAGGGCTAATCCACCAATCGGCTCACAAACACTAATGAAGTTTGTAGTAGGCAGACTTCATCATCATCATCATCAGGAAACGTGTGAGGTCTGAAGGAGCTTCAGGAGTTTCTTCCTCCTGACACAGATAACTCAGAGGATGCTGACACTGGCTCCTTCCTCCTGTGACTTTATCACAGTCTAAAGTCCAGCTGCTGTAAACCTGTCAGGTAATCTACCTTAATCTGGCCCCGCCCCCGCACTTACCTGACAGCTGGAACAGAGACTCATTAATCATCAGCAAATAAAGATGTAATTAATGAAAGCGGTGTGATGAAGCTGTTCAACGACTGTTAAAGTTTTACTTTATTGTTCGTTACTTGTTCACGCAATAGGCTCCGCCCATCAACACTGAACACTGTGTCTGTGCTTTTCACAGGTAAAAACAGGTCAACAGAATCACTGACGGCACTCGTGTGTGTTTCCTCCTCTAGCTGCTCCTTGTGAAATCATCCAGAGCAGGTGACAGGTGAACCAAATCATCACAGAAACTTTATTGTTACACAAACATCATACGAGCAAATACACAGCGAGCACTCAGAATGCGCACGGAAACAACCCAACACGCTTAGACACGTGGCTCACGTTACACACAGCTGTGACGAGTTTCACACCAAACATTTAATTTGATAAAGGAAACAAATGAAAGCAAAACTAATTTTAGATATTTTACAGCCAGAAACATCAGAAGAATCAGAAACAGGACGGTTTGCATAAAAATTATCATCCACCGCCACGACTCGACTCTCAGCATCAGAGATAAAAAACGCCCACATCTGGAAACGTTCAATGTAAGTTTAAAAAACAGAATCCGAGTTTAAAGCTTTGATCCGCTGGTGTGACACAGAGTTTGGTTGGTGCTGCAGTTTGTCCATAAAGTTTTCAGCAGTGAGGATGAGTGTCCTCAGCCAGGAGATATGACCGGGTTCTCAGTTCTGATTGGACGAGAGGTTCAGGACAGCTGGTAGATGTTCGGCATCTTTGATTCCTTCCCCTCGTCGTCGTCCTGCTCTGAAATCGGGACATTTTATTGTGATGTCATGGTTTCATCTCAGAGTCACACACAGTTCAACCAATCAGGACAGACTGTGACTGAAATCCAGAGGGAGAGGTCAGAGGTCATGGCGTGGTCTCATCAGAGGTGAAGGTGTTTCTCACATTAAAACTCAGTCATCCTATCAAATAGTTCAGCAGTCAGGTGTCATTTTACTGACACACGTGAAGGAAACTTTAGAGACCTCTCTCTCATCCCTTCATTAACCAGGAGACAGTGTGAGCAGATCTCAGATCTGCCGAATTAAAACCTGTTTGGAGCTGCATCATAATGTTCCCATAACTTTATTTATTATTATTTAGTATATTATTTAGTATACGTTTTCATGAAAGCCAAAGGAAAGCCTGGGTTCAGACTTTATTCTTATTTCTGTCGCTTTAGATCCTCCACGCATACCTTTACTGGTAATAATACACCCACAGCTCAGGTTAATTTATTTATACAGGGCCAGCTCACCTCAAGCTGCTCAACCCTGGGAAGACCCAACAATCAGCTGATCCCTATCAGCTCTGAGCCTCCGTGTTAGCATCAAAACATCAGCATGACTGAGGACCACAAACACACGGCTCACGTATCACAGATAAGCTCCAGTAAAGAGCCGCAGGACAGACCTGAAGCCTGGAGCACAACACCAGGGTCTGTAGTTTGAAACTCACAGCTTCTCCGAGGGTACCATGAAGGCACCGCAGGTGTGTGTGAAACCTTTATTTACCTTCTGATGGAGAAGGTGATCTGACTGAACACAGAGAGGACTGTGACATTTACTGCCTCTCTTATCATCACAGCAGTTCTTAGCTGAGCTAACATAAAAAGGGTTTTCCTAATAACCTGATACACCTGTGTCAGGTAACAACACAATGAGGCTCTGACTCACTACAAACACGCACACTGTTAATGATTAATGACTGCATTAATCACAACATTTCTGATCGACTTCAGTTCTACGTCTTGATTCAATCATCCAGGAAAATAAATCTCCAAAAGTTGATTCTGTTCATCTGGACGTAGCGTTTCTGGGAGAAACGTTTCGTCACTCATCCAGGTGACGTCTTCAGTCTCAGCTGACTGCAGGTTTCAATCTTATAAACAGTACATCTGCATAATGACTGAAACCAGCCCACTGGTTTCAGTCATTATGCAGATGTACTGTTCAGTTCTAAAAACTCATCTCTATAAACACATAACGGTCCCAGAAGACTTTGTTTGTGGTCTTTGGACCAATCAGGCTTTGGCTTCAAACCTCAAAAGACGTCATTAATGCGCCCAAACTCATCTGACTGGGACTTAGCTTTTTACTCGTTAAACACTGATCACGTGATTACATCTGCACGCCAGCGTCTATGCTTCATGATGGTTAAAGACTCTGACCCTGCAACTCTATCACAGAAACAGGTGAGCTCACCTCACCTGGCTTCTCATCCTCTCTCTTCATTGTTTCTTCTTCTTCTTCTCTGCACTCGTCGATGTTCCTGTAAGTCGGCTGAGGACACAAGAAGAAGAAAGATGATGAGGCACAGCCTGTCAGACGACACAGAGGGCTCGTGGGCCCTCACATCCTCACCTGGTCGCTGTAACGTGATGACATATCATTGGTGGAGGGGAGAAGTCTGCTGATGAGCTGACCAATGGTTTTGAAGGTGGGTCTGTGGGTGGGCTCAAGGCTCCAGCAGAGCTTCATCAGCTGATACCTGCAGAGACAGGTGAGCGTCACTTTCAAAACAACTTATGAGCACTGACACGAGCATCTGTGAACTCACATCTCCGCCGGGGCGAAGTCAGGCTGCTCCATGTGGCCGCCATCTTTGATCATCTTGTAGAAGTTGGTGTCCACGGCAATGTTTGGGTATGGGCTCTTTCCTGGACAGGTGAACAGAAGACTGTCTCAGAGAATGGCTGCTGAATGTCACGTACTGCTCATCACCAGAGTTGAAATGTGACTGGCTGAGGTGGTGCGTGGTGTTGCCATGGTTACCCAGAGAGAAGATCTCCCAGAGTAAGACTCCGTAGGACCAGACGTCGCTCTGCACCGTGTAGACGCACTGAAAGATGCTCTCTGGAGCCATCCACTTCACTGGGAGGCGGGCCTGTCAAAATAAAACAGCGAGTATCAAAATAAAACACAGTGAGTGTTAAAACAAACAGCAACGAGTATCAAAATAAAATATGAACACTGACATTTCCTTGAACGATGTAACTGTCATCATTGCGAATGTCTCGGGCCAAACCGAAGTCGCAGATCTTTGCAACATGACGATCAGTCAGCAGGACATTCCTCGCTGCTACATCTCTGTGGATACACTGAACCACACAGGTGAGACGCACAGGTGAGACAATGGTGATTGTTGTGAAAAATGATCCCATGTGAGTGTTTCCTTACATTCCTGGTGGACAGGAAGTCCAGACCCTGAGACACCTGGTAGGAAAAGCTCATGAGGTCACTGACTGAAAGACCATCTGTCTGCACACCTGTGAGAAAGACAGTGAGATGAGTTCTTTAATTGCCATAAATATAAATTATGTCAATTTGTTTAATTTATTGTGATTATGTATGTTATTTATTTCCTTTATTTATTGTTGTTCCTTTTTGAACATGTTACATTCTATGTTGCGCACAGGCCCCTTTAAGTGGCGCTAAGGGACGTTAAGAAAGCACGTACAAAGAAGCTAAGTTGTAAGTTAAATAAGTCACAAGAAGGATTAAATAAGCTGTTTCAAAGTGAAAGGCAGCTGTAAAGAAGAGAAAAAGAAGTCTGGAAGTGTTTTGTTCAGTTTTTGTTCCTGAAGCGGACTCATTCCCTCGTGGTTGCATGTAGCCAGTGAGGTGCTTTGTTTATTGTGCATTTGTTAACTTTGGTTTAAATGTTTACTTGCAATATTTATGTTTGATCATTCAGTGCATTTATGTAATGACAGTTTGATGGTAGATTTTATGGTGGTCTGGAGGAGAAGTGTGACTGAAGAATAAATCCATCTGTGAACGAAGAACCGTGGTGCCGTGTTTTACCTGGAGGTGAGTTCAGGTTCTTACCCTGGTGTGTTTGCCCTGCACTCAGAATTGGCTGCATCTCCTGATACTCCGAGCAGCATGAGATCCCGCTGTCACTGCAACACATATTGGATGTTGCACATCAGCTGGGGTTTGAACAGGTAATGGTGAGGCTGCAATGAAACCTAACCTGAACTTCTCAACAAGCATACCAGCCAAATACAGAATAGCCTAACCCTAGAGCGTACAGGTGTTAGAGCTGGCTGTCAGTGTGAAGCAGCGTGTTTACTTTGGTATTAACATCTGATCTGTTCTAAGTGATTCACAATCAGTAACTGTAGGTGTGCTGAGGCACACTCAGCCTTTCCTTTCCTCTAAAAGCTGTGATGATAATAAAGTGCACAGGTGTGAGCAGCATGAAAGACAGATGCTCTGAAACTGAGAGGCGTCACACCTGCGGAGCCTGGCGTGCTGGGCCGCCATGTTCTTATAGAAAGCCTCTTCCTGTACTTCATCCACAGTCACCATGGATGCCATGATGTCCTGAGCACGACCCCGCAGAAAGTTGAGCAGGTCGCCATGGCTACAGTACTCTGTGATCATCAGCATAGGCCCTGGATAGTCAAAGGTCAGAAAACCACAAGTTGAAATGACTGTCTTTTATTCAGGCTTTTCTTTATCTTCTTTGAGTCTAACAGCTGATGTCCACGTGATAGACCCCCCAGGAACTATGCACTTCATTTGAAGCACACTTTGGCTTAAGTTGATGAGCGGCTTATTTCCAGACTGCAGAGGACGGCAACCACACAGCAGGGAGTGCTATATTTTTAGTGTAATACAGAGCATCAGCCTCTGAGATGGAAATCAAACCAAACCTGCAGTTCCTCTGGCATCCAGCAGAAGCAGCAGTGAGTCACTTCCCATAGACTCACATGTTAAAATTTTACAGCAGAAATAAACATGTTTACAGCCTGATACACAGACGTCATAACACCTATATGAGGGCAGATTGTTTCTATAACTCACCTGTTTTAACTTATTCAGACCTTAAGTTTGCAAATTTTCACAATGAATCTTTTACCTACAGTCTACAATCAGTATTTACGAAACATCATCATCACCCCCATGAGTACAGGCTCCCAGCAGGTTAACGATGTTGTCATGGTAGCCGAGATGGCTGAGAATCTTGAGCTCAGACATCAAAGCCTCCCGTTCCTCCGAGTGAGCGCTTGCTGTGGACAAACAGGTGATACATTGGATCATACAACACGAACAATACGATGTGATAATGATGATAATGATGAGGATTGTGATTATGAAACTGCGTACTAACGTTTAAGCATCTTGACAGCGACTCTGGTGATCTTGTTGTCAGTTTCCAAACCATACGCCGTGGCCTCAACAACCTTCCCGAAAGCCCCAGAGCCCAGGATGGGACCTGAAAGACAGAAAGTCGAGAACGTGAAGAAGAAGCCGGAGAGAGGAGGGCTGAGGAGTCAGATCCTCAGTTTGAAGGTTAAAGTGAGCGTGAGCCTGATTCTGTTTGAACTTTCTTCATGTTAAAAAGGGGGTTCTCCTTTCCCACTGTCACCGAATGCCTCACATTACAATACAAAACCTCTAGACGGCCATCGTTGTGAATGCTCCCTGATTAAAACCCAATGTTTCGTACCGAGGCGGAGTTTGTCTCGGGGAAACTCCCACTCCTGATTGTATGGCAGCTGGGTGGGGTCAACAAAGGTGTAGTTGTTTCCATCAGTGCTTTCGATGATCTTCCAGCGGATCTCATACTTGGGTTTCTGGCAGAAGAAGAACAGCAGGTGAAGATTGTTTATTAGTCATCAAGCTGTCAGTCCAACAAGCCTCTGATAGGCTTCACCCACTCACCCACCTCCCTGCTTAGCTACAACAAAAATGACTGATCTCTGACCTGGTGAGCTCTACAGGAGGATCAGTAAATTTACCTGTCTGCACTTGTAGAAGACGACCAATAGGAGCAGGAAGAGGACAGCGGTGGCACTCAGAACTCCAATCAGAGGCGGAGTGAAGATGATTGGATTCCCTGTAGAAAAGAGGAACTCTGAGGAATCTTGATTTAATCCAGTTTGATAATGAAAGAGATCAGTTTAACTGCTACACGTCTGATTAATCCAGTTTTATTCCCCCACACTTACGATGATGGAAGACCCGCAGAGACTCTCCCATGAGGTTGGAGGCAACACACTCCACAGTGACATCATCATCAGCTGACAGGAGGAAGTGGGACCTCACCTCCTCACCGTCCTGTGAGGTCACACTGGCCTGAGAAACCTCATTGGTAGCAATGTGTGCACACCTGTAAGGGAAGCAACATTTTTATTTTTAAAACAGCGCCTCCCTCAGGACAGATTTCACATGATTCTGCAGCCTGTAGCTGGCAGCGCCAGCATACGTACGAGGGCTGGATGCCAGGACAGGTGAACCAGAGAATTGTGGGTAGTGGATATCCTGAGCTGTTGCATGTCAGAGTACTGTTCTCCAAAGTGACATCAGTAGTCGGAAAACCTAAAATAACAAAACTGTTTTCTCAGACTTCAGAAAAGACAAAAACAGAGGTATAAACATCAGCTGAGAGCTTCTTTTGGGATCATGTGATCAGAAGAGGATGAGAAAACAGCACAGACCATGGCATCTGGAACGTTTCAGACATTCAGCGACTTCTGTTAAAGTAGATTAGACTGCCCTCAACATCAGATATACTACTAATGTAACGGCTGGCGGGGTGATCCGTGTGGGCCAAAATGCAGGCAGTTGACTGGTGATGAGAGTGATGTTTATTTACAGAAGTGGAGCGACAGAGCAGGCAGTGAGGAAAAAACCTAGACTGGGAAAACTAAATGACAAACCTAAGCATGAGACGGAGAACGGAGAACGCAGAGAGACGTGGTTACACCGAGAAACACAGACGATCCAACGACGAACAGAAGCCAACACACACTATAAATGCACATTAGGTAATGAGGAGATGACATGCAGGGGTGGACACAGCTGACACTAATGGACATAACGATGAGCAGACCTACAAAGTAAAACCGGAAACACAGACTGTTTTGCAACAAAAAACGCAGGGACCTGAACGGAGCACAGAGGGGAGACACAGGTAGGGATAATAAACACGACAATCAACCCAAAGAATTAATACAGAATCAGAATAAACACCAAACACAAGATGAAACCAAAATGAAACACAAAACGCTGGGTCAACGACTCAGGATCATGACAACTAAAAGGAGAAACTGTGTATTCAGGTGTCTTATAGTATAGCATGCGACCAGATGTCAGACTGTGAGAAGCTTGAGGTGAGGAAGAACGTGATTACAAAAGCTTTCTTACGGAAGACCTTGAGGTCGATGGTGTGTGAGCCACTGAAGAAGGAGTTAGAGAAATGAAACAAGTATTGCCCCCGATCCTCCGGACGCATGCGGTGCAGCAGCAGGGTGGCTTCCGAGCTGCAACATCAAAAATACCGCCTTAAAAAATGTTTACACCATCACTACCAACTTAACAAGCCCTTGTACAAACACTACCACCTCAAAGGAACACCGAATATTCCACCTAGGAAATACCACCTTAAAACACTGAGGCGCTCCTGACAATAGAGTGGGAGTAGCCTGGAGCCATTGCTCACCTGTAGCTGTTAGCAGCGTAGCTCTCCTGGTACACCGTACTGTCATTGTTTATGAGGTGTGTGGGTGTGGTCCAGCGCTGGCTTGTGATTGGAGGATAGGCCTTCAGCAGGAAGGTGAGGGCCACATCACGACCTTCGTAAACCTCCACCCTGCTGCTGCCGTTAACTTTAGCGCTTCTAGCTCTGTAAGCACTAACATTAGTGATGGGTTCCAGTGACCCACCACTAATGTTAACCTGTATTTCATCTGCTGCAGACAGGTGTCCTCTGACCTGTATGTGCTCACTTGTCTGAAGGTAGATTCTCAGGTAAGGGCGTTCTGAGGAAGAGGAGAAACTGTTGGTGGATGTGTGTGACTTTGAACCTGCATTCTCATTCTAAGGCAATGAGTGTACAAACATTAGGTTAGAAACGGTGCAACCAAAATGACCAAAAGTGTTTAGAGAGGCCAGATGTCAGGAAGTGTTTTTGTAAAAACGGCTATTGCCCCCTAGAAAGAACACAGGGTGATGGCACTCTGGTTCCTAGAGTATTCAAAAGTAGAATGGGAGGGAGAGTCTTCAGTTTTCAGGCCCCCAAACTTTGTTTGCTAGGGCCCACTATGTTTTACAAGAATACTACCCCCCCAACCCCCGCACAAATACATCCTCCAACCACACACACACACACACACACATATTTAGTTTTCAAACTCCATTGCAGTTTATTTCACACCTCAAACCTTTTGTAAACAATTAAACTAGTGCTGTCAGCGTTAATCTCGTTAAAATTACGCTAATGCCATAACCGCATTAACGCGTCAAATCTCCGTTAGCAAGTTAATGTGGATCACTCCGTGTGTGGGGCTGCACGGCGTCAAAGCGTTAGCATGGTTAGCTCATTAACGCGTTGGCGCACGGGGCGATCTGTGTTAACTCGTTAATGGAGATTTGCCACGTTAATGTGGTCATGGCGTTAACGTAATTTTAACAAGATTAACACTGACAGCACTAAATTAAACAAGTAAAAGTAAACTGCAATAAATTACAGGTTGTAATTAAATACACCACTACCTCTTTTGAAAACAGAAAAACAAACCATCTTTAATTATTTTACGTATAGTTGTTGTTTTTTGTTTTGTTTCATCTTTTTTTACTGTGTAAGAATATTCAACACTGCTATCAATACATTTCTGTGCAAAATGGGTTCAAAAACATAAACAACTGTAGGATACTGTTTGTCTGTGATTTGAACTGGGGGAACAAACTGTGGCAGGATCAGTTTACTCCATTAGACATGGAAGTAGTGATGTTTTAGTTTATCAGTAAATGTCTTAACTTACCTAGCACCTTGAGCTGGATGGTTGCTGTGGCGACCCCGGCCTCGTTAATTGCCGTACACATGTACTGTCCATTGTCCGTTTGGGTGACCTCAGAGATGCTCAGAGTGCTGTTGATGTACAGCCGCCTGTTACCATAGTAACGACTTAAAGTGGCTTCGAGTTTCTGAAATAAACCAAACAACCAATCAGCACTTGGAATATTAGGACTGAAAATGCACAGGTGACCTCTGATCTCTCACCTGCTTTCTTGGGTCTGTCCAGGTAACGCTATAGAAGTGGGTGGGGTTACTGCAGAGACAGGTAACCTCAAAACGCTCTCCTACCAGACGGACAAATTCATCCTGACTAACAGACAGGGAGGGGGGGTGGCGCAACACTGCATACAGACAGGTGAAGTCAAACAGGTAATCAGATCAGGTATACAGACAGACAGGTGTATAGATAAACAAGTGTAGAGATAGACACGTGTTACCAGGGAGCACCAGCAGGTTCACGGGCCTGGATTTGAACTGTCTGCCATCCTTCCAGCCTGAACACACGTAGCGGCCATTGAACAAAGCCTTCAGGTCTCGGATTAGGGCTCCTCTTCGAGGATCAAAGGTCACGTTCATGGCGATTGGCAGGTTTCTCCCGTCCTCTGATTGAAGGGTGAGATTTGTTACCAAGGGGTCAGTCAGTAGACACTTGAACAGGAAGTCCTCACCCTCCTTGAGATTGGGGATGCCATGAGGGGTTTCAAACACTTTGGAGAGATCTGCTGGGTCTGAGAGAGGGGGATTATGGAAAACTGGAGGTCATTCTATGAATGAGTTCAGTCTGGTCACATTTGTATTAAAAGTATAAGGAACAACCAATATCACTAACTAAAGGAACTTCAGGAGGACTACTGATCTTACCTGTGACATACAGGTGGATCCAGCTGTTCAGGTGCGCCAGGCTCTCGTTGGTGTATCTGCAGGTGTATGTTCCAGTGTGCCTGGGTGTAGCACGTTTGACCTCCACAGGGTCTGGTAGGTTGCCCCGATACACCAGTGGAAATGCAGTGCTGGTCCAGTGAACTGACCCGTTACCATGGCAACTGAGGCTGAAATCGGTGCCAGCAGTAAGAACTCGATCAGATTTACTTGGAAGGAAGTCAGAATTTAGACGGATCGATGGTGGATCAGGAGGTTCTGAAACAAATAGAAAGACACCTGAACCCATCAAACACAGCGGTCACAGAGCACACACCTGAATATACCTGAATAGTACAGGGTGGGCCATTTATATGGGTACCCCGTAATAAAATGGGAGTGGTTGGTGATGTTAAAGTCCTGTTTGT